AAGTATTTCGTCGAGTTGAATCGGAAGCTGTTGATAAAAGCGACGAGCAAAGAAGCGATTGAAGAATGATTCATCGATAATAGCTGAATGCCACTTCTGACAAACGAGCGAAAAATGAAGGAACTCAGAAAATGAGCAATCGACACGAAGAAGAATTGCTTGAACTAATTCCAAAGGAAGAAATTCCATATCTGAAGCACAAAGCATATAACATGATGTGTTAGTCTCCTTGAAATCTACTGGTAAACAGCTACAGAAGAAGTTAGTTCACTATTCTGCTAAAACTGTTTTCACGTGGTAATAAAATTGCAAAAAGATGGTCCATGATGACTCGTATGATAAGACCAATGCATTAGTTGACTGTTGATTGTCATCGGCTTATGTTCGGTCTCCAACGAAAAGATCAACAAGTGCACACCCGATATTAGCAGTAACAGTTGTTGAATCATCAGAATAACGTTCTTTCCTGTTCTATTCCTGTTCGCTATGTATATAACTAAATGTGCGAACTTTTCTTCTATTGCTTCCTCATCTTCCGTCAGTTTTATACGTGTCGACAGGACAGAGTAGGAATACACTCGAATGATACATGTTCTGTGAAGAATACAAAGCAAAGGATAGCATAGATTGACGACAGTCTTATCAATAGGAGAAAATAATGCGTAAATTCTGTTGTAAAGCAAAAAGCAGCAATCATGTACAACCAACGTGGTAATTCTAGTTTCAACAATCCCAACTACAAACTGAATTGCATCTGCGACGAACATTAAATGACAGTTACAATTGTAATATCTGTCACTCAGCCAACTGTGTTCCTATTGTTTATTTATTTCAAAATAAAAGCCGAATGCTCATTGATTATCTTAGAAATATGAATAGGAGGTATGGTTGTGTTAGATCCTTTAATATGTTGATGTGTAATGAAGTTTACTTGCGTAACAAAAATAGCTATCCTTCACATAGATACATTAGATATTTATAGCAGAGATTAAGCGGAAGATAGAATATATGAATAGTTGATACCATATCATTGGAAAATATCTAGTTATCGCATGTAAACTAACACACTGAAACCAAGAGAGAACACTAAGAAAAATACTTCATACAGAGAAGGAAACCAAGAAATAGATAGAAGCGAGAATATATATGTAAAGAACGAACATATCGCATGTAAAAACGAGAAAGAAAAATCTGATTTTAATCGATTTTAATTGCTATCACTATCAAAACGCGTTTTTCTTCAGTTTTAACTTAGAAGCTCTAATTTTGTTTTGTTTTTTCGAATGTTTTGAGTTCTTCTTGTCATTCTCTGAGATGACAACTGAAAATTATCTACAGAATGCTTCACATATATTTCTCTTACTTCACAACAAGTACAATTTCTTTCATCAGGTCAACCATAATACCTAATAGTAGTATTTACTTACATTATCCGTATGAAATAAAATTTTGAGTAAAGCTATACCACTAACCCCAAAATCAGCCTATACGATTTGAGCCAGGTTGAAGATATTTAAATCTCTTATCGTCATGTTATTTATGGTCCATCCTGTATTTAATATGCGCCCAATAAAATATCTTCATGATCAAATTAATTTACCATTAAATGAAGATGTTCAACATACATTCAGCAGTTTTCAAGATAATCAAATTAATTCTTGTGTTAATTATTTTCCAAAGGCAGGATACAGTTAAATAACCTTTTGCACATGAATCCTTCCTTCGAATTGCTCAATCATTCTCATTTATGAAAGAATTAATTAAAATTAATCGGAAATCACAGAATAAATAACAATATGGAAAATTAAAAAACCACGATCAAACTTTATCAATCATCAATTATCCTCATCTTACTCTACTTAAAATCTGTATCATGTCCATGATGATTATATTAAACAATTTCTGGCTGATACAAAAATGTGTTTGTTGAAGAACGTTTTTCTTTTTATTGACTATCAATCACTGAAAAGAGCGACACACACAATTTTCAAAGAAATACAACACGAATCCAATATACGAAACTACATTATTTACTAAAGTTGAATGAAGAATTTTCAATTTAGACTCAATTAGCCTTTGAATAGATCAGATGACTCGAGTAGTTTTTGTTAAAGTGAATTTTTATCATAAATATTTGAAGATTTTGTAAATTCTTAATCAAACATCAAAATAGATCTGATAAACTTTATATATTACAATTTCAATAATAATTAAAAATCAGTCAATAATTTTAAGGTAAACTTTTATGACGATTAAAATATATTAACGAAAGCTTTCGCCAACATTTCATAAAAAAATCTTATCGATGATTAAAAAAAAACCCTCTGAAAATCTCTTCAATTATTGTGCTAAATTACCATAGTTAAATTGGAACCATCAGATTCACAATAATTCTGACTATTGGATTCATACACACTCAAATTGCATGCAAATCTATGCACTTTTACAATCTGCCCAAAACAGAAGTCACCGATGCCACGCTGCGATGAGTTTAGAAAAAAAGTACCACTATGGATATCTCTAGTATAGAGACAATTATAATTTCGTTAAAAATCAATTTCTTGATCATGCTTTGGTTACTTTCAAGAATATATAAATTTGAACAATGTGAAGTTTTTCTCGATTTCAAATTAATTCTTCATTGATCGATGATAACAACCATTTAATATTCAACAAGGCGATACAATGAATCAAATCAATGAGTGAATTTTATTACAATTGTTTTTATTAAAAATAGTTCTTTATGAATCAATTATCGATATGTAACAAAAACTTGTTCATTCTCGTTTTATTATTTATTGAGATAGAAACTTTCATTTAATTTATAGCTTGATCGATTTTTCAATGATCACAATTCATAATTTCGATCATTATGTACAAAGCTCTGAAGTATTCAGAAAACGAAGAATGGACAAGTTAAGATTATGAAATTGTCATTATAATTAAAATTTTGGAACATGAAAGTCATCGTCTGACAAAGAATAAAATACTGATGATCAAACATGTCATTTTTTCAATCACATTGTTTATCAGATCTCAAGTATCAAAATGAGTTTTGTTAATAAAGGAATCTTTTGTGTTTTATTTTTATTCGTTTTTTAAAATTTGATGTATCATTGTGATTATCATAGTGACATATTCTGCATCTTTATTATTAAATGTTGTAGCTCGGATCAATGGGTGACGTCGAATTAATTGTCACGTCTTTTTTCTCGCTCGAACTTGAAATATTAATTTGTTTTTCAATCTCAACAATCAAATCTCTTTCGTCTTATCTATAGTTGAGAAAATTTTTATGTAAAATTGTTTCGTAGAAATTTCTTTATCGTCAAAAACAAACAACATTCATGCTTTCAAACTTGAATACTGTTTCATTTTAAATTATCACATGGGAAAAGTTTGATTTTGGCAAGTACGAAAAAAAGACGTGATTGAATACATCATATATAAGATGATGTTCAATTAACACTAAGCGTTTCTATTTTCTATACATAAGATACAGAAACGAGAATAAAAAAAAATAATTACTATATAATTACTCAACGTATACAGATGCAATCGAAGCAACAATCAATCAGTATCAAGTAAACAACAGTTTTTGGTCAGAAAAAAAGGCATAAGTGAAAGATAATATACGGCTTGTTTACGTAACACGACACTTCACTGATCAAGTTTTGAAAAAAAATTTTTTCGAGTTGGACAGATCTGAATAAGTTACTAGGTGCAGTTTTTAACGCTGATTACGGATCTGATATTTATTTTGTAGAAAAAAACCAGATTTTGGCATCGAAAACAGAGTTTTTGAACTTTTCAAAAATCGTATTTTGCATTTTCTAACCAAGAATTTTTAATACTTTGGAGAAAATCTTTGTTACTGTCTACAAGTCCCTTCGATGTTCTACAAAACTGGCTCTAGGAATATTTGATTTGGAGAAACAGTTTCGTAAGAAATTAGTGTTTTCTCAGTAGTACTGGAGAAAAAGGATCTTTTTTATGTTACAGCGTTTCGTGATAATAAAATATCTCTAGATGCCCGAGACGTCACTCAAAAAAAAAAATCGTTCGTATAGAATAAATAGAGTTTGATAAGCTGCGTCGAATGGCATTTGAACGAACTTTCTAGCTCTTAAACTATTCGAGATAATTGAAGAAATTTGAAATTTAGCTTAAATGAATTGAAAAATAGATATTATTTTCGGCTTCTTTTTAGACGCTTCAGGTTTACACATGTTATTTTGATACAGAGAAGCCCTATGATTTACTTTGGACAACTGATGATCAACTAAATTCAGACAGAAAAAATTTGATCATTGCATTTATTTGTGGAATTTTAATCATTATCATTTGGATAATACCTATTGGCTATTTCTTTTACAAATGCTACAAAAAGACAAAAGTGAATAATATCCAATTACTTATTCGAATTGATCTCGATCAGTCGAACAAAAATTTTGTGGGACGCGAAGTTCCTAAATTTTTGTTCTTCAATCGATGCGGAAGATCGAAAGGTAATCAAGAACATCAGGTATTTCTCTTTAATTATGATTGATTGAACTAAAATCTATTCTGTAATAATCTACTGGTATCGGCTTGCTCATTTATTTATTCTTCAAACTAAATTTATTTAGGTTGAATCAGGAAAATCAAAATTCTTGAAATGGCTTCGATCAGATTTAATTACAGTAGTCACAATCCATGATTTACATTTTTGTTCAAGACAATAATCAACATTTCTTAATTGCTCTTCGATATTGAAGCAAAACTTCGATTTTGTTCTCAACTATTGGTTACGAGAAGGTGTAGATATGGGTGAAAAGTGTACATATATTCATACCCACACTCACATCCTACTGATTATTTTTTTTAACATGAATATTTCAATTAACTATGATTGATGTTAGTATTTTTCCATTTTTAAAACTATGTTAGATTCGAATCATTTTTTGAGTTCTATGTTAGCAGCACCAGAATTGATACGAATAGGTTTACGATACAAGAATTTAGAACGACTGATCTCGCACAACGGTCCAAAATATTTTTTCAACACGAGCCATTTTAAGAACATCAAATGGCAATGGACTGAATGTTGATATTTCACGATAGAATTCTTCAGAATAGTATTGTTGTAGTCGAGAAACAGCTTCTAAAATGAGCAACACCGAAAACATCATCATCGAAGCACGAACATAATGAGCCAATGTTTCACCACTTTGTGCATCTGATACTGTACGATGATCATCAGAAAATTTTTCAAAAGCCGGTGCATAATAACAATATTGAATGAGACGAGCCGTAGGTGCATCCAATGTTTGACCATCAGCCAATGATTGAGTGAAAATAGTTCGATGATTATTCTTCATGTCTTCTTCCACATCCTGTATAAATAATAAATTCATTTATAGGATAGGGTCGAAAAAGATTGAGATCAGTCTACTGAAATCTATCATTTCACAGCTTTCAAAAACCTTCCGTTTCAGTTAAGATTGTTCATTATTTTTTGTCAGTAGAGTCCACAAAAAGAATCTTATTGTGTTAGTATAGAAGAACATTTCCTTGTCTGTTTAAAATAAAAACAAAAATAACTTCTCTAATTTCGACTCTGAAAATTTAGACTAAAACTTTGAGCTCAAACATGTATCAGAATAAGAAAGAACTATCTGATAATCTATATAATCTACCTGAAGATCATCGAGCATCTGTAAGCCAAAGCCCAAATATTCTAAATAGGCCATTTTTGCTCGTGTTAATCGTCCTTCGATAAGAAATACAGCAGCAATCAATGATGCACCACCTTTTTCGGCGCTAATTTGTTCAATTTGTGCCATTGTCGGTATATATCCATTGTCGGGTTGAGCATGTTGCAATGTTGATTTCATTTGAGATTCATGAATAGTAACCAAACCCATATAAACACCTTGATGTTCATTACGTGTCCAATCATTTTCAATGAATTTGACCATATCAAATATTTTTCCAACACGATCAGCATAAGGTTGTAATGATGGTGGCAATTTTAATAAGGTCACATTCGATTGTTGTCCATTGAAATGCGATTTTGGATCATAATTTGATGCACCAATAAGTAGTCGTTCATGAAATATTCGTGCAAAATCTTTTTTAGCTTCTCGAGATACATCATTACAATCGACCAAATCATCTGTATATGGATAGAGCATATTGTAGCCGAATATCGAATCCGTAAGAGACAATGATAGATTCATTTGTGTTTGAAAAGCAATCATAAACCAAACAGTACGACCTGCTTTGAAGAGTTCATCATCATCTATTGTTGGATCATATCGTTTTCCCTTTTCAAGAAACTCATTAGTAATACGACCGAGTGATTGATAAATTCCATAGAGAACAGCAGTGTTTACTGGAGGTACATTGAACATATCATTCCATAGACCAAATCCTAAAATCGATATCACACATACAATGAGTAAATCGTTACCTTTTTAAATATAACGATGTCCCATATATTTCATGTAGTTTTCTAATCTTTATCTATCGTTTGCTTACCTTTGGCACGAACTTTCTTTTTGCGAAACGTTCGTCTGAACAAGTTAGCATAGGAAACAAAAGATTTTATATTTTTTATGCGAGTCTGTTGTTCGTGTGGTGTGTAGCGTTTGGCAAGTGGATTATTAATGGTTGGCAATCCCGGTGGTAGAGAATACCACAATTTAAGTGTATTTTCATAGTTCAATTTGAGTCGTGCACTTTTGAATTCTTCATAAGTTTCAAATTCAAATGGAATGTCACTATCATTACTATAATTTGTAGCAGACATCTAAAATGAGAAGTGGTACAAATTACACACTATACATGAAAAGACTATTTTTTTTATCTATTCATCTTCTACGATCAAAATTATCTTAAGACAGACAGACTTTTCAAATTATTAAATGACTGACAACAAGTGAATTTTAGCATAGAAAACGATGTACACAATGGGATTTTGAAGTAACATAGGAACATATTTTCTTTCATCGAAATTGAGTATGATGATAGAGTTTTTTTTGTTTCTTTCTTCACTTCAAATATAGTTTTTTTGTCATGAGAATTGCTCTATGTCGAATGTCTCTTTATGTATCAGAAAACGCTACACACTTATCAGACTCGTCTTTTGATTCACTCACCTTCGAAGACGAGTATTCATATAATGTTGCTTGTTGTTATTCGTTTTTGTCTTCACCTTGGTCGAATGTTGTATGAATAATAGATATGATGATAAAAAAAATATCACGTCTCTCTTGATTCATCAAACTATTTTGAGCAAAATGACTAATATTTACAATTAATTGCATAAAGGTAAAGGTGCATGTGTGCTTATCATCAACGAAGATATCGAACAAAATGAATGCACACAAATAAGCACCAAGGGCAAAAGAGAAGTCATTTTTTACAGTTTACTATCATATGACGTGTTCGTTTTTTTCTTTTTCTATACGTAAGCATATTTGTATAGGTAACGCGTGCACGTATTATAATTGATTTAGATGCATCTATATTTTGTTTGTAAACACCCTAATGAATGCATGAATGTCGTTCTGCATGTGAAAGAACTAAAGTGTGTGTAGGTATGTGTACGGTGGGCGTGACGGTGTCGATGTGTGTGGGCGTGGATTAAGATAAGATGAAATCACACACACCCACACGTACAACCGCATCCAAGCTCTCGATAGTTTTCGAAAGTGCGAGGAACTGAATTTCTTTCGCAGACAGTATTTAAAATTTTCCACAGACATAGTTGACGATAGGCGTGCACCAAATCCAATTCTGGTCAAATCCAAATCTTAGATTTGGATAGGTTAGACTAGATTTGACTGGATTTTGAGGGTGTGAGTGTGAGTGTGAGTGTAGGTGTGAGTGTGGGCGTGGGCGTGGGAATGTCGGTGTGGGTGTGGATGTGGATGTGAGTGTGTGTAGGTGTGGGTGTGGATGGAAATGGATGCCATGGGAAACAAGACCCACACCCACCCCACCCTCGCCATTTGGCGAAGTTACTGTTGGCGAAAAGAGGAATTGACGACAAGGCTATACCCCGTGAGATTGAAGCAGTTTAAACGTCAACGTGTTTGAGTTTTTCAAGCTATCATTCATAGATGATATTCTATTTGATTGCGCAAGTGAAATCGCAAATCAAAAGGTGAAGTAGCAGATCTCTATCGAAAGTTATATTTAGAGAAAAAATAGTTCTCTGCCTTATCGTTTTTCAAATAGACAATGATATTTTAAACTAAAATGTGAAGCATAGTGCATAAAAGGATAACAATGCGAGAAATGTACAGGGTTGCCAAAAATGTTTTGTCCGGGCGGTATAGTTCCAACAGCAAATGGTATCAATATTGAGTTTTATACCAAAAGGAAAGGTCGTGGAAATGTGGTTAACAGGTACAGTTCACAATGTGATCGATAATCCTTGACTGTATGTTTACTGGGTGTAGGTAGATGTGAGTGTGAGTGTGAGTCTTGATGAAAGGAAGATTAACACCCACACTGACACCCACACCTCACATCAACACCCACACCCGCCCCCACCCACCTCCATCCACCCACACCCACACCACCCAATTTTGCTCCTATCAAGATATTTTTATTCTGTTATTGGACAAAATTTTATAAAGCAAAATGTATTTTCATTCAAATTAGAATCTGGGACAAATAAAAATGATGAGATTTGTGAAATAGAAAGATATTACCTAACAATATTGGTGCCGAGAAATATTTTTTTATAATAATTATTGATGATTATTATATTAAATTATTTCTAAGTAAACAAATTCAGATGCACAATATACTAACTTACCATCATTAACAAATAAAAACTTATTGGAATTGATTAAAAGACAATGTCACAGCTTGAAGAAATGCTTAACCTATTGAGAGTGAACTTTTGTCAGTAATATTGTTCTTTATAGAAAAATAAACGCTGTTTATTTGCAAGATTAAAAAAATATTGATTAGTCAAAGTTAGTAAAAGATAAAAAGTAATAATTATTGAAATAATGTTGTATATATTTGTCAATAAATAAAGTTGAAAATACTAATCTGTTGAGTTCTTGTTTAGAATTTTTTCTTTTTCAATTAACATCAAAATATATGGACTCACATGAGAACCGTAACGATCTTGAAACCACTTTTCTTTATACGCATCAGATTTTATTTGACCACGACATATAGATGTACCACACCAACATTGGAAGCTTGGTATCGTGGTCAGATATGTTGCATAATCAATTGTTAATTCTTCTCCTAAAGCTAGAAAATAAAGGAAAAAAAGGTTTATTTCATATAAAAAAGATTACGTTTTAAGAAATCGACATAACCTTGGAGAATTATTTATTTTTAAGTAATTTTCGTTGAATTCAACATGCACTAAGTTTTTTATTTCAATTTTTTAAGTGTCACAAAGACTTGATAAAGTTACAGAAAACTCAGTCATGATTTCACAATTTGTTATCTCAATGGCACAACATTATTTGAGTGTTCTTCATTCTTATCTTTTCCATTCAGATGAAAATGTTTTTTGGATAAAAATATTTCTTGAAAAAATCTTTTGAAAACATTCTGGTTTTGCAAAACAAAGTAAGAATTCTGATCATGATGCATAGAACTGATAGAGACATTTCTCTGTATTGAGATTGTCATCATGAAAAGTTTTTGTCTGAATAATAACGATAATAGTGAAAGATTTTTGGATGTTGTGTGGTAACACTGATTGTTACTCCTTTGGCTGTCACCGACGCATATATGCGTCCGAAGTCTCATTTTCTCGTGAACTAAAGTAGTCATTCATAATGTATGTTTTTTAGAATCATTTGCGTAAAAAACAAACGTTAGGCACCAAACGCTTCCCAAATCACTCTCTTGTTAAGGTGCATTATAGAATTGTTCCATGAAAAACAAATAAATTTTCTGCAAAATCATTTCTTCCTTCCCTTATGTTGACATCCAAAGAGTTAATATCTTGATACCATTTTATACTTCTGCCCTAGTATGTTCTCTGCGCATTCGACTATTAATTAATGAGAACACTGATAAGAGTAGACTTTAGAAATGAAAGTACTTACAAGAAAATAGCTAATTTAACTTTTCTTTCTATACCTATCATTTAAAATTTGTTAGCACTGAACAATATTAAACAGTCTCAAAAATTTATTGAATCGTAAGTCTCCGAATATAGATGATTGCTCAATGATTCTCTTCCAAGATATATCGCACGAGGTTGATTGCAGATAATACAAAAATTGGATGCGAAAAACAAGATCTTGTGGATATTGATGTCGTATTTTGAATATGAGAAACAGTAAAAATTTGTGATAATATCTGTTTTCAACACTATCTGGTTAGATGATGATAACGGTACATTCGATTAAATTCGATAAATTCTTATCAGAGACCGAAACTGAGTCGAGTACTCGGCAACTCGATTCGGCTCGACCCGACTAGAATCGAGTTGAGTTGAGTCGAGCCGCGCTTTTTTTGACTGGTTTCGATCTCTGATTCTTATTATTGAAACTTTTAACAATGATTACAGTGTTTTATTCAGGCTAAAAATATTTACGTATATATCTTCTTGCAATACAATCTAAGCCGTTAATCCATACGTTTGGATCACATGAATGATTGATTGGTGTCCATTTCCGACTATCTTCATGCCAAAGAATAAAAACATTGTCACAAATTGGCCATGCTGAAACAATAAATTGATAAATTAACTCTTCCTATATGTATAAAAAAAATTCGAATCCATCATAACATTGATGTCTATTGCAGCTGAAAATCTGCTGCTGTCGCGTCCCTCTCGCGATGAACTTTGAAGAAAAGCCGCCGCCACCGTGATGGAATTTCAGAAATTGTTTCGAAAACTGATGTCATCGAAGTACTAGATTAGTATTCTTGTTACTAATCCATTAAATTCATAAAGTCTTAAGTTGATACATTCATGTAAACTAAAATCCTCTAGAAATCTATGCAATTTTGCAATGTACTTTCAAAGAAAGCTGCCATGATGTAATGTTAGCACATCTCTCGCGACGCTATAGACATCTTTACATCATACATACCATAATGATTGAACCACATAAGTTCGGTTTTACTGAATGTTTGTTCAGCAAATTGTTTCGTTACTAATTTTAATGAAGTATTTTCTTGCGAATAAACTAAATCATCTTGAAACAAATTTCTTGATGCATACATTGCAACACCACTTTGTGGTAAATATTTAATTGTATATGAATGTGTCAAATAGTATCGTCGTTGAGGTTCTAAAGCTTGTTCAAATAGAAATTTCATAAATTTAACTTTTGGCCATCCGCTTAATTCTATAATTGCATCAGCAGAACATAAATCTTTGTAGAATAGACTACAATTTGGATTACAATCTAGTATGAATAATTCTTTTGTTTTATTGTCTTGTCGTATATCAATACGCGCATATCCATCACCATCGAATGATTCATACAATTGTCTAGCTAATAATATTAAATCATCAATTAGTTGTTCTTCTTGTTCATTTGTTTTATTTAATAAACACCAATGTAAGTCAGTGTAATTTTGACCCCATTTATCGTCGAATGTGATAAATGTTTTATTGGCAAGAAAACGATACTCGACAGGAGGAAAAACATGAATATTGTCTTTGCTACCAGCAACCAGGACAGTAAATTCACGTCCTTCTATATATTTTTCAATTAGAGCACCTCCAAATTCATCGACGATTCTTGTACAACATTCTTTTAAATCTGTCAGATTAAAAATTAATGATTTTTCATTAATACCAACGCCTAGTTTTGCCAAGAAAAACACACAAATAATATGAATTTTTCCAGTTAAACAAATATCAAAAGAAAAATCAAGCCGATCGAGAAAGCGGGTAATGAATTTGATATGTGATCTATTTTCTTTCATTAAGTGCCTACTAGACAAAATCGAGGAGGGCAGATAAGATTGTTTTTAAGTCATCCAAATATTTTAGCTATTTTTATATCAAAATCAAGTGACACATTAAAAAAAGAAACAAAATATACCACACGATGTAAAGTGCAAAACTCTACAATCTACAAACAGTTTATTTTAAAGAAAAAAGGAATTTTTCGTTCGTATAGAAAAAAAAGTTTTTTTTTCGCAGCGGGAGGAATTGGTCGCACAGAATTTTGCTCTTCGTGAAAACAAAAAGTACAAAATTAAAACAGCTTTATTTTGTAGATTGTACAGTTTTTCAAGCTGCATTTTATAGCATATTTTGTTTTTAAATTAAAGGTACTAGATGATAAATAAAAAGAAAGACAAAAACCAGTCATTTATTATGGGACACTTGTTATTATCGTCTTTTATAAATTCTTATAAAAAAAGAAAAGTATCTAGGTGAATCAATTCAACACAGGATCCGACAGGATCTTGTAAGATCCGAACAGCCGACAAAATTCGATTGGATTCCGAGTTGTGGAAGCACTGACGGATCCGTCGGTTGAAATTCAATGATTACTCTTTTAATTTAGTATCTATCTAATCAGTATTAGATACAATACTGAGACTCAATCTTATTCAACTGTCAGATCCGATAGAATTCAACCTATGGATTCCGATGTGATTCCGTCACCTGGGATCCAATCGGATTTTATTGGATTGCATTGATCTTGATGTTCCATAGGCTTATCGCCCGTTGGGGCCAACCTCTATGCTGATTAGTTTCTTCCCTTTTCGTCGGTCTTCTGCCAGATGAAACTGGTCGTGTCCGCTGCGTCCACACCAGTCTTTGATGTCGTCCAGTCATCCTCTATATGGACATCCTCTTCGTGGTTTTCCATCGATTTATGCGAATATTGTGTGTTTTATCAGCCGGTTATCGTTCATTCTACAGATACGACCGAATAGTCTTAGTTTCCGTTTCTTTATTACATCTCCTATTGTTTCTTCTTTCGATATCTTCTTTCTTATATCTTCGTTTCGTATCATGTCTTTCCAACTAATTCTTAATATCCTTCGGTAGCATTTCATTTTGAATGCAAGTAGCTTTCTTTTGTCGGTCTCCTTAACACTTTCGAGGCGATATCGCCTACCGATGGGCGACGCTATAATTTACAGTGGTCAATCATCCATACAAACAAAAAGTTCTCGAAAAATGTCTTCGTCTATCAGACTTTGTGGAACTATCTGCACTGATCATTTTGATAAAAAAATATTCTAAGTTTGACCGACAAATGACGATGCTATGGTCAAAGTACTGAAAAATCTCAAGCTTCTCTATGTGCAAGAGCTATAACGTTTTTCAGTATTTTAATCAGAGCATCGTCATTTATTGGTCAAACTTAGAATATTTTTTTATCAAAATGATCAGCGCAGATAGCTCCACAAAATCTGATAGACGAAGACATTTTCCCGGGGGCATTTTGTTTTTATGTATGACTACCCATGGAGGTACACTAGTTACATCCATAACGTTTTTGGAACTGTCCGTGATTCTATAGCTTATTATCACCCTATGAATTATCAGTTATACTCTTAAATCCCGTTTTTAACAGCCTTTCATTTTATATAAAAATCACTTGTATATCTCTTTGATTTGAGCTGAAATCTTTGGAAAAACATTTTTGGAAAACCTGTAGAATGACATCGCCTTGAAAGGATTAAGGATCCAAGTTTCTGAAGCGTATAATAGTACACTGAAGACACACGTTGCTAGGATCTTGAGTTTGTTCTGTATTGTAAGTTTTATTTCCATCCCATATATGTTTCAGGGATGCCGTTGCTCCAGTTGCTTTGTCTATTCGTCTTCTGATTTCTTCTGAGCAGTTGTTATCCAATGTTATTAGGCTTCCTAGATACTCAAACTTATCCACGTTTTCTGCCGTCTTTCCTGCTATTTGTATTGCTTGGTCTATGTTTCTTTCACCGAACACCATTGTGTTCGTTTTGGCTATATTCACAATTAGTCCTGCTTGTTCTACGACTATTCTAGTTGCCTCAAACTGTTTCTGTAGGGAGCTACAGTCTTCATCTATGAGGTCGATGTCATCTGCAAATCTTGGGTTGTTCACTCGTGTTCCACTGATGCTGATTCAACAATCACTTTGTTTCACATGGCCCATCACTCGTTCGAGATATGCGATGAACAGTGTCGGTGATAGAGGGTCTCCTTGTCGGGTTCCTATATCTGTATGGAACCATTCTCCACGGTCTCTTCCTATTCGTACTGCTGACTGGGCTTTTTCGTATATCTTCTGCAGCAGAGTCACCATCTTCTCTTCTATACCGTATGACCTCAGTACCGTCCATATCACTCTGTGTTTGATTGTGTCGAATGCTTTTTGAAAGTCTATGAAGCAGTTGTAAATCTTCTTTCCTTGTCGCTCCGTCTTTTCTGCTATTAATCTGAGTGTCAGGATTTGGTGTTTTGTACTTCTGTCTTTTCTGAACCCCGCTTGTTCTTTTGAGAGGTAAGGCTCCAGCTGTCACTTGAGCCTGTTCAGTAGCACGATTAGCAGTACTTTTCCTATGTGATTGATGCGCGAGATTATTCGGTAGTTCGCGCATTCACTCAGATCACCTTTCTTCGGTATTGGCACTAGAATAGACTTGTCCCAGTCTTCTGGAATAGTGCCTTCGTGCCACGCTTTATTGCACAGTTTGTAGATTTGCCGTGTTAGCTGTTCATCTCCGGCTTGTACCATTTCTCCTGTGATTCCATCTGCTCCAGAAGTTTTGTTCTTTTTCAATGTACGAATTGCTTTCTCTACTTCGAAGTACAGGATGTCCGGTGGTTCCTCTTTGTTTTCAAATGTGATTTTGTTGAGATTATTCACCATGTTGTCGCCTCCTCCATGATCTTTGTATAGGTTACTACAGTATTTCGTCTATCTTTGTGTGATTTCTTCCTAAGACTGTAGTATTTTGTTATCTTGGTCTCGTATTACATTTATTCGACATGTAAATTCCCTTCCTAGCATTTTTATTAGACTGTATGCTTGCCTAATATTTCCGATTGCTAAACTCTTTTCAATTTCTTCGCACTGATGTACTATCCAGTGTTCTTTATCTTGCCCCGCTGCCTTCTTGACTCGATTGCAGAGGTCTTTGTATTTTTATACCTTGTGATTTGAGTCATCCTTAGTCTATTTCAGTTTTCGTTTTTCATCTACTAGTTTCAATGTCTCCTCGGATATTCAAGGTTTCTTGATTGTTTTTCTAGCAGGTATGGTTGCATCTGCTGCTTCTTTGATAACACCTTCTATTATTTTCGCATACTCGTCTAGACTATCTGTTGGCTCAATGTTTTCTATGCTTTTTGCTAGTTTGTTACTGTAACATTGCCTTATTCTGTCGTTTCTTAGTTGGCTCACATCAATTTTCGCTTTTTGATCTAGCTTGTTATGCATCGTTTTGAATCGCAACCTTATATTACACAGTACTAGTGAGTGATCTGAACAGATGTCAGCACTGTAAAATGTCCTACAGTTGGGTGTGGGTGTGGGTATGGGTGTGGATGGAGGTGGATGTCATGGGGACAAGACCAACACACCCTAGCCACTCACACCCACACCAACATCCTATCCATATCTTCCCATTACCCGTTTCCAATCTGTGTTATCGTTACCCACTTTCGCGTTCCAATCGCCTGTTATGATGACTATGTCTTCTTGTGGACTTTCGCTAGTACGTCCTCGAGCGTGCTGTAGAACTCTTCGATTTCGTCATCTGAGGATGCGGATGTTGGTGGATATGCATGTATTACTGTGATTTTGAATGGTGCTGCATTAAATCTAGCTGTGATAATCCGTGAGCTGAGTGGATTGTATCCTATGAGTGCCTTTCTGGCTCCCATACTCAGCAGCAGTGCTACGCCTCTTAAGTTTGAGTTGTCTTCTCCTGACTAGATGAAATCTCCATCTAATGTTTCGCCTTTGCCTGACCAGCGTACTTCTGAAATACCTATTATATCGTACCTGAACCTCTTCATCTCGTTCCTTAGCAACTGTAGTTTTCCAGTTGTCCATAATGTCTGAACGTTCCACGTTCCAACCGTCAGCGGTTTTTTTGACTAGTTTCACTTTCTGTGTGCCTGTTCTCTCATTACTCATCTTTGTTGGTTTTCCAGTAGCCAGTTTTTCGACTCTGACCTGATTACTCGACAGAGGACGCGGACCTTGTTCACTCGAGCGACGTCCGAGCCGGTGTGGTTTTCTACTATCTTTGTTCATTGTTGGTTTCTATCGTCTTTTTCTTTTTCTGAACAACGGCATTTGCACTCCTTTCTATCCAATGCTCCATTTTCAGTCCAGACTGGCGACCGGTACGAAATCTCCGAAGCGGATGTCGCAGTTGGGTTCTCATATATATTGAATGTTTATTTGCTATATTAACGGATAGAGATATCCGAGACAACTGTGCATTAATGACTTGTCCAGGGTCATTACATGACTGTTGTCACCGAGGTTTGAACTCGGTAACTAGTGAATACGTGTTGCACACATATAACTACTCAGTCATGCTGCGCTGGATTGCATTATTTCACATAAAATTTCGGTGAAATTTAAATCGATTTCCTATTAGATTCAATGAGATCCGACTATTGGATTAATGGATCAAGGTATCAGAGGAATAAAAAGAACTTACTATCGTAACCATGTTCAGGTTTAATAAATAATGGAAAATCACCCAATGTTTTTGATAAATTAGCTAAAGAATCATCATCATAACTTTTTGGATCAGTCATTAATGCAAATTTTGGTGTTGACAATCGACAATATCGACATAATTGCTTTAATTCAATTCGCGTTGGATCATAAAAATGTGTACCAGCTCCAGTGAATGCAATCCCTTGATTTTGCATGTAGTCTACAATTTTTATTCCTGCACCATCTGCATTATCGTATAAATTAATAAATATATCAATTTGATGTTTCAATCGACGAATAGTTGCTATGCTTTGTCTGACATTTGGTGTTAGATTAACCGTTTGAACAATTATATTTTGATCTAATTCCTTCAATACTTGTTCAGCATCATGTGGATAAAACAATGCAACCTGTTCATTTTCTTTAGTAGGAGAGATTTTTAAATGATTTCCATGAACAGCTTCAATCGTATAATTTGGATGAACATTTAGAATACAAACATGTTTTATTTTTTTATGATCATTATCGAAAGAAATTTTCTTGATTTCATCGCCAATGACTTCCACTTCTGATTCATTATCATTGCCTTTCACCGACGCTGCACACTGATTCATTATATGAATTTTATCTGAAAAAATTTTTTTCTTTTTTCTATCTTCATCGTTCATTAATCAAGTAATGCTTACGAATTCTAACGAGTAATACACTTTAAAAAAACGTACTCTTAGAAATTCTAACCAAAGACAGCTATGACGATTTATCTAATATACATCTTGGAAACTGATTAAAAGTTTTCAAACTCATCGAAAGCATCAGAATGCAAGGTATACCGACGACTACGAGCCCAACTAGAAATATTGCTGTTTCCACGTCAACGCTCTCCACAACCAGTAGCAAGTGTCACTAAACAATCTATTCAAAAAGTTTTAACAAAAGTTTGACTATACATACAGTTTCTGTTTTATTTTAATATCTCTCACTGTTGCGTTAGTTTCAAACCAAATCCAAAAACAGAATTAAAACTATTTATTTTTCTTATAATACTACTTGCTATATATTTCTGCTGAAATATGTATCCAAACAAAAAAACTCATCTAAAATTTTTTTTCATATGACTCACCACTCATCTCCAACTGAGATCGACTTAATTGTAAAAATAAAGCTAATTTACTATTGAGTTTTCATTGAGATAAACCTAAAACAGAGCTTTAACTGGTAAGGTTTTTTTGTTATCGATCTGGGTACTGATCAGCAATGATCACAGAACAACTTTTTTATTGGTGGTAGCGCTTTAAATCGGATGGAATGCACCACGTAAAGGTCGATTTTGTAAACCTATCTAGTTTTTCTCCGTAAGTGATGTAGCCAAATATTTTATCTCATTCGACTCATCGTACTACCAGGCAAAAAGTTACGTATCCTTTTTTTTTCTTTCCTTTTCTACGTTGAGATAAGTCGTATTTATGGATATGATAGGATAAAGGAGGAGGTCATTCTTACATAAAATGGCTATTTTTTATCTAAACCGAGTCAAAATCGATTCGAATAGGTAAAAATCGATGGTAAATCGAATGAAGATACTTTCTAGATCTTTAGAGGATTTCCAAAGAGTCTCTAGAAATCCTTCTCTGAAAAAGATCTATTATAATCAGACATGTTAGTATGACGTGTGTTTCTTTCAGACAACCTATTTTGTAGCTGAAGTAATTTAGTTTGGTATGTCTAAAGCAAGCAAAAGGAAGAATCAAGCACAAAGTACATTAAATCGTCTCTAAGCAAGTGTAAAAGTTTCGTCTTCAAGCAAGTCGCCAAATGAAGAATATATCATGGATATTGATGACAAAGAATTACCTTTTAATGAAAAACTTCTTCTGACCGACATTGGTGATATTGCTGAAATGTATAAGGCGAAATATGACACGAAATATCTGAGCACTTTGCTCTATATGTCATTGCGTTTCTTCGACATCAAATGGGAAGATATGGATGAATTTTAAAAAAATACTGGTTTTATGAGCGCACAAGCTTCCTAGAAGTGGGCAACAGTGTTTGGTAAAGGTGATTATGAAGAGTTTTCAAATGATTTACGTGGTGGCAAACAAACTGATTCTTTTTATGATACATTTCCCGAGATTGAAGGAGATGCTAGAGCATTCGTTGTTCAAACATGTTCACAAAAATCAGCAGAGTTCAAAGCAGCGGATCTGACTCAGTTCATTGATACAAAATATTATGTATTAACTGGGATTAAAAAACAAATTGGGGACGATTTGATAAGATCTGAAAGAAGTTGTCGTATGGATCTTCGTAGATGGGGAGCTAAATTCGAAAAGAATTCACAACGTTCATATTTTGAAGGACATGAAAGAGACGATGTTGTGAAACATCGTAATAAATTTATCAATTATTTTCTAGCACATAAAGATTTTTATTATACAATTACTGATGGTGACACACTTATGTGGAGGATGCCAACCCAAAATCCTCATAGAATACTTATATGTAAGCACAGGAATCGAAATTTTTTAAATATAGTTTTTATTATCCTTTTCTTTGTGTTTACTTTTACTAGTTCATGAGGAATCAACTTTCAGAAGTGGTGAAGTTGGCCCAAAACGGTGGTTTTTCAAAGAGAACATGCCGTTTTTTTTCAAAAGGACGTGGTCGAAGTCATATGGTGTTTGATTTTCTTGTTCAACATCCTAGTGGATCATTTTTTGAACTCACTGAAGATGAATGGAAACAAGCTACTGCGCAATATCGGTCATTAAGTGTCGATGGTGATGTTAATTATCTTAATCGAAGAGCAACAGCCAGTATTAATATTGGAACAGACGCATATTCTGATAATGATACGATTCTGGAACAGTTTGAAAGACTATTCTAAATGCTGGAATTCAAACAAGACTATAAGGGTAATCAGATAGAAATCATTGTCGACAACGAAAGAACTCATACTACTAAAGCATATTCATTACTAGAATTTGCTAAAGGTATTGGTCATCGGTGTCCAGTCGAACAAATCGAATATGTCAATGAAAATGGTGTAACAAAAGTTATTGATTGTTATTTTAAACAGGAAGAATACAAAGATCAGTCAAAAGGTTTAGTTGAACTAGCTAAAGAATTACGTGTACAATTACCACCTAAGGCTTAATTAAATGAAATTCGTGAAAAACTTCCAAAACATTGAGCATTTCAAAAAGTAATTGACACTCACCCAGGTCAAATAATCTGACGATAAGATCTTATACGATTCTTACAAGAATATACACGATCTTAATGTAAGATCTTGTACGATTCTATATGATAACCTTAAAGCCACCATTTCTGATTAAATCGTACTGTACGATTCTTATATGATCTTATTATGTGATCTTGTAAGATTTTATATTATTCATGCAAGATTGTATACAGCTATCGTACGCATTGCATAACTGATTTTCTTGCAATATTCGCCGCTCTCTAACTTGGTTTTCTAGCCACTGATTTGCTTACGTTGATCTCTTTTTTTTAAAGAAAAAAAAGCGTGTGTAATTATCTTTTTATCGCCTTGCTTCCGTTTAAAACTAAATTTATTGTTAAAAAAAGCATACAAAACGATTTCATTATTGTAAAATTGAAAAATACAATTAGATGAATTAGTTTTATCAAAAACAAATCAGGGTTCACTTTGCTGATAGTTTCAATATATTGTCTCCAGGCAATTAATCACAGTATACTGTAAACTAGAAAATAATTTATAGAGTATGATAAAAGATATTCTAGGAAAGTCCATTTGAATTCGTCGACGAATTTCTACTTTCTTGAAAATACGATATTCAAGAATATAGGAATAAGAAATTCTATTTTCTAGTTAGAAAATTGAAAGTGAATTCATATGGGCTTTTCTAGAAATTCGCATTTAATTTCGCGATAGGAATATTTTCTAGAAATTTGAAAATCTACTAAGACTTTCTGCTTTCAAGGGAAAATAGGTCCAATAAACTAAAGAATAAAATAATTTTATTATAAACTTAAATAAATTTATGAACGTTTAATTCACATCAATGCATTAAATAAAATAATAAAATAATTTTCATTGTAATTCATAGCCACTAAATTTATCAAATAAAATAAATAAATTTTCATTTTAATTTATAAATATTAAATTTATATAAATACATCAAGCAAAATAAATAGTTTTCATTTTAATTCATCATCATTAAATTCACTAAATGCATCAAATAAAATAAATACATAAATGATTTTAATTTAAATAAATTCATAAATATTACATACATTAAATGCATCAAAATAAATAAATAATTTTAATTTTAATTGAAATAAATCCATAAACATTTAAGTCATATAAATGCATCAGATATGACAAATACATAATCTTAAGTAAATAAATTCACAAATATTGAATAAATTAATACATCAAATACAATAAATAAATAATTTTAATTTTAATTGAAATAAATTCGTAAACATTTAATTCATGTAAATGCATCGAATAAAATAAACAGATAATTAATTTTAATTTAAACGCATGCAAAATGTACTAACTCATGCGGCAGCTGAAAAAATATAACTTATTAGCACACCGTCAACTGCCGAAGAAAATAATGAATGCACTGCACTATCGGCTGACTTATATACCTGAATGAACAATGACTCTATAGTGGTCATTGTTCAAATGATTTTCCCCAAATTGAAATTGATTTTCGAATTTTATTCACAATCAGTGTTGATTTTTCATTCTTTTGGAAAATGAATTTTTTCGAAAATCCAATTGAATTTCTATAAATTAGAAAATCAAGCATTTTCTAAAAAAGAGAATTTCAAAAAAATTTACAGTGCAATACAAAATAAAGTCAAATATTAAAACGAGCTTAAGTAATTACATAACTATAACTTGAAAAATGGTTGCAATCATGTTATATTAGATGAGATTATTTTAAATGGATTGTAAATAAATAATGTATCAAAATAATTTTATTTTTATTGGAATAGTGAAATAAAGTAATTAAATGAAATTATTTTAGTGTAATTTGAATGTATATAAATAACTCTAATGCAATAGTTTTATTTTAATCGAACAAAATGAATAATCACATTCAATTAATTTCTGTTAAATATAATATTTAAAAATAGATATTAGGTTAAATTGATTTTAATCTAAAATAAAAAATACAATGAATCTATTAGATTAATTTCATTTTAATTAGAATAAAATATTCACATTGAATTGATTTTATTCTAGTATAACATAAATTAAATAATACTATGAAATAAAATTAGAAATCAAGTGCGACTAAATCGATTTCATTGTATTTTAATTAATAAATAGATAATAGTATTAGATGATTCTAATTTAACGGAAAATAAGCTAACTATTGATATTTAATGGAATTTATTTTGGTTCACATTGATTTAAAATAAAAAAAAAATCAACATCATTTTTTCTAGCTAAAAAATATCATGAAAATATTAAAAAGCGATTCGATGAAATAGAAAAACAGTGAAATAAAATCAGTAGAATTTTCAATGTATAAAACAGAACAGAAATAATTTTCAAAATTTATATCTGAATATAAAACAAATTAGTCGTATTTTGAAAAACAATACGATGTACAACCTTATCCAACTGAACTAAAACGTATATAACATGATTGTGACGGTTTCCCGCCTCTTTATATGATCGATTGTGACCATTATCATGT